TTACACAGAGCACCATGGATTTGCTTTGACTGCACCTCACTCTACTTTTATCACAAAATATCCTCTGCAGCAGCCAGCAGGTAGGTAAAACTGAACAAGTACACATGCAAACAGCAAATAGAAGCTTCCCCACAAACACCACAGGTGCGTCTACAAATCATGAGTCCACCATTTATCCAGTAATGGTGGCCACAGCAACTAAAAATTAGATTAACTTTTACTGGAACATTTAGATATTTAAATTACCCAATACAAGCACACACTCACACAAGCACAAACAATCCCTCAGGCAATATTTAATCTAATAAGCAAACATTTTCAATCTATTAAATGATAACTGAATCAATTAGAATTGAATAGAAACAGCCTTTATTGTCGCACGGATGGGAAATTCAAGTGTAACAGCAGCAACAGATAAAAATAGTTCACACAAAAGTTCCTAAATGTTAATAAACAATACAATATATAAGAAATAAGATGAACAATATCAATAATAATGTTCAATATGTATTGGAAAATTGAGAATGGCAGACTATTTACAGTACAGTATTATCGGCAGAGTGTGTACTTTGTATTTTAGCAGAGGTCAGCATGTATTTAATCCATAACAAAATATTTATCTTTTTATATATCTTAAATATTTATCTTCATTGTGCATTGCCAATGATTTCTTTTTAAAGTGATGACAAATGAGAACATTTCCTATTATTATTATTATTTTTATTGTTACGGTAACCTGAAGGTGGTGAAACAGCACGTGGCCCCGCTCCCTCACAGACGCAGCATGAACAGGTGAGCCCAGCCAGAAATTTTATTTAAAAAATACTATCACTAGGTGGTCATGCTTTTATGAAAATGTGTAAAAATGAACATTTAACTGAGATGTATGAATTACCAACATCTTTATTATTTGTCTACTAAAAGTTCACTTTAAAGTCATGTTGCTTCAGAAACACGTTAACTATAAATCCATTTATAAATGTTTCGGTTTAGCCATTAACACACATAAAAACTTTATTTCCTTCTGAAAACTTTACAACTCATTAAGAACTAAAAAATAGGTTTCTTCACTTGTCTCGGTTTGTTTTATCTTCAGGTCCAGGAGAGAAACTTGGACATCCTTCTCATCCAATGACATTCCAGCTCCACCTAGGGGACTCTAAGGTGTACAAGGCTTAGATCAAGTTTTTGTGAAATACTGCTGGAACTGTAGTTTATGGTTGACTTGTCTGTCTTTTTTATTTATTGTTAGCAGGGGCGGTCCTAGCCTGTTTGGTGCCCCTGTGCGAGCAACCCCTGCAGTGCCCCCACCCCCCCAATATCACCCCAAAGTTTCTTTGAATATATTATTTTAAAATGTGAAATTGAAGGCACTAGAATACTACTATAAACACACAAAGATACATAAATACTGTACACCATGAGTTTAAAATTATGCAGTACAATTGTTTCCCCTACCAGTATTCAACAGAACCAGGTGCCCTGTCAACCAAATCCCCCACCCCCCATGCAGCTCCGCCACTTCCAGATGGGAATTAGGAGATTGAAGCACCTTGAGATTGAAGACCTCAGCTGAAGCTACATGCCCCGCACCTGGTGGAGGATGCCCACTCCCCGCAAGTGGGCGATAGGAAACTGATATGTAGACTAGACAGGCTATATGAAATAATGCATTTTATTATTTTTTGTAGGAGGAGGGCGGGGGTGGGGCCGGGTGCTTGTGCCACCCTGGGCAGCTGCCTATATCAGAAACTGCCCTGATTGTTGTTGTTAAAAGCTAAACATGTAAACTATAATCAATAGCAATTAGTACCCATTTTTTGTTGTTGTAAAAACAAACTGGCTGAATAATAAATTATATTTAAATTTTCAAACCTATCCATCTAGTCAGCCACTCCTCCTTGCAATATTGGAGATATCTCAACCATGAAGGTTCCACAACGTCAGAGTTCCTTTATTGTCATACGCACCACATGTGGTACATGTGGTGGAATGAGATTGTGTACACAGGGTCCCAGTTGCATCCAACAATAAAATGTAAAAGAAAAACCGGAACAAGATCTAAGATACGAACTAAGAAAAACATTAACTACAAATACAATAAACACTACTAGCATAAAAACTATACGCCGAACAGCAGCACAAACATGAGTCTGTGTGAGCAGATGAGCACGAATGAACACAGCAACATGAAACAGATCAACAGGAACATGATGTGATTTTTTCACAGTGATTATTCTGGTTAGATATTCATAAGTCTAACAGCCTCAGGGTAGAAGCTGTTCCTCAGTCGTTCTACTCTTAATGCTCCTTAACCTCCTTCCTGAGGGAAGCGGGGCAAAAAGTGTGTGTGCTGGGTGAGTGGGGTCCTTCGTGATACAGGTGGCCCTCTTTCTGCATCTAGAGGTGTAGATGTCTGTGATGGTGGGGAGGCTGACTTCCTTCAGCATTTCAGGGAAAACTTTGTCATCCTCTCGTGCCCTGCCACTTATGAGCTTTTTGTCTACCTTGGTGATCGATGCCATGGAAATGAACTTGTCTTCCCCTGAGCCCTCAGATGCTGCTGCCTCAAAGGAGAGCATGGTGGACAGATTAACGAGATCTTCGAAGTGCTGCTTCCACCGCTCAACAACATCCCCATGATGGGTCAGCAGTTTCCCACCCACACCAAGCACAGACTGGGGTAGAGTCTGTTTTCATTTTCTGCAATACAAATCAGTTTGACAGAGCCAAACATTTTTCTCCAATGCCTTCAAGGCCTTCCCATGCCTGAGGTTTTGCATCCTCAACTGTAGAAACCACAGTCCTTCCATTCTGCACCTCTCAGCTACTGTGGGAGTCCTCCAGGACAGTCCAGCTCTGAAGTCCTCCTTGCTTCATGGCCTCTGTCACTGCTGGTGTCATCCTGCAGGTTCTTTGGTTGACACTGCAACAGGCACAAATGACTTTCAGGCCACACCTCCAAATACAACACTTGCAACAGAAGCCCTGAACATGGCCCATTTAGATTCCTGGTCCTCTACTTCCACCAGAATATGTGGAAAATCAAAACAATATGGTGTCATGTGGTGGTGTTCAAAGTGCGTTCAACTTAATTCAGTCTTGATGATTTGTGTCAATGAGCATTTGGAGTTTTATACATAAAGATACACTTGATAGTTAGAATTTGAAGTATATTTACTGAATATTATGGTAATTTATTCTTTATTTTGACAGATTATGGTGTTTCTGGGGTCGTGATGATGGGCCCCTTGAAGATTGTTGCCCAGGGTACATCCATCCATCCATTATCTTTACCCGCTTATTCCATTTTGGGTCACAGGGGTCGCTGGTGCCCATGTTCAGCAATCACTGTGCGAGGGGCGGGGGACAAACAACCATTCACTCTCTCACTCACACCTAGGGACAATTTAGAGTTACCAATCAGTCTAACATGCATGTTTTTGGTCTGTGGGAGGAAACCAGAGTACCCGGAGAAAACCCACGCATGCACGGAGAGAACATGCAAACTCCACCCAGAAAGGCCCCTGGACCGGAGATTGAACCAAGGACCTGCTCGCTGAGAGGCAGCAGCTCTACCAGTTGTGCCACCGTGCTCCCCGCCCAGGGTACAGTGAAGTGTTAATCTGGCCCTGCTTCCTTAGAGAGAGAACTTTAATAGTTGGCTTTTTAATGTATGTGAATGTTCCTGTAAAGTGCCCTGAGACAACTTTATTGTGAATTGGTGCTATATAAATAAACTGAATTAAATTGAATTAAAGATTGCAGACAGTTGGCCAGGCATTCCTAGTTCGCTCTCGCTATGTGTTTGGGTTTACCAGGTCTATTCTGCAGCATGCCCCACCACCAGTCCTAAAATACCACCAGGTGCTCTCTTCCACACTTCACCCAAGTGTCCATAACGTATACCTGCAGGTTTGATGATGTGATTACAAAATCAATCGACCTTTTGCCTAAGGTGGTCTGATACTAAATACACTTTTGGAGCACCCTATTCTCGAATATGTTGTTAAATATGGACATCCCATACCTAGCACAGAAGTCCAATGACAGAACATGGTTCAGGTTCTAAACAGGGAGGCTGTTTCTCCCAATCAGACCCTTCCAGATAGATATCATTGCCCTTTGAGGTCACCCAGTAGAGCAAATCCCCAGACAGCACCCCTTCCAGGATAGCCTCCAGAGAATCCCAGGCTCCAAACTCCACATGGGCACACCACCTGTGAGGAAAACCATCAGGGTCAGGTGTCATGCAAGTCAGGCGGCAGATGAGGGAGGGTACTCAGCCTTGCTGATTCCTGATTTTTCACTGGTGGGTAAGGAGCCGGTGCTTGTGTGTGAGGTTGAGCAACTTACTTCCATGCACATCTGGGGCTCTGGAACCCAACTCCTAGAGAGAGTTTAGACTCATTCTTTTAAGGCTTGGAGTTGCCCAGGGAAAGAGACATCGGGTGGATGTGTGGGTACACCTACAAGCCATCAACTCAGTGCTTGGGTTTTTCCTGGTGAATGAGATGATTGTCTTTCTGTAGCTCTGAGCAGCAGGAGGGATGGTTCTTTCTATTAAGCCTACTTTTGAGATTCCAACAGGAGTTTGGCTTGAAACACAGCAGTGAAGGTAGCTATGGGACAGATCTGGTTGGCAGGCTGTAGACTGAGGGAGTCCTCTGGATGTGGGACAAAGCACTTAAAGAAACTGGTCCAGACGATTTAACCTTTTTTGTTGTTGTCTACCTGGATGATTGAGCTTACAACCCTTGTTCTTACTATCGTTTGTGCTTAAGCACCCAACAGTAGTTCAAGTTGCCTGGCCTGGAACAAGTCAATTAAATTTGTCCAGATTGTTTTCTTAGTTTCAAATCAGACCAGAATAAGATGGTTTACAATTTAAAATCACATTTAATTTGTTTTACCAAGACATAAAATCTGAATTACAAAAATCTAAATAAAACGACAAATGAAAAGTTGCTTCATTCCACTGATGTGAACGTGTGCCGCTCGGCTCCAACAGAACAGAGTTTTGGGTCAGAAACCCCCACGAAGACATCAACAGTCAGGACATCTGCTCTTGGCATCAGATTGGGATGAAACCTCCCTCTGAGATCACAGTTTCAGCTTTGGCACTCAAATACTCGCTGATCCAACTCCAACTTCCACAAATGTTAATACACTATAAATGACTAAAATTACACATTTCAAACAGAATGGAACTGATTTTTTTTACTAAGTGAGACCAACTAATAAGACAACAAATATATTTAAAGCTTGTAGTCGTGCTGGTGAACAATCTGCTGCCGTTTTCCTTATTACCACTTGGTGGTGAACAACAAAAGGCAAATATTTTACACAGATCTGATTTAAAACCTGAATACTGACCTTTTTTAAACCCAAAACTGATCCTATTTAAACAAGAGGACAAATACTGACATAATAATTAAAAAAAAAAGAATCATATCTTTAGCTGAATCCCATTTTTGAGTATTATCTTTAAAGTCCAAATCTTCCCTTGACTCCAGATTTGAAGTCATAACAGATGGAGTGAAAATACTAAAAATATTAAATTAAAATGTATCGTTAATATATACAGTATTAAAAATTAAAGTTAAACTAAATAATGCATTACAGTGTAACCATTTAAACTATTTATTAATGACCGACAATGACTAACAAAATCTATCAGAATTGTAATTATTAAAAACAACTTCAACCATTATAGTATTTTAAAGTTAGCAAATACTTTTTAACATTTTTTTTTTCAAATACATCCTGTTCCCTGTGTTTGAAGTGTGCTTCTGAAAAATATCCTTTTAAGAAGATCCACCTGACATCACAACAACAAATGCACAACCAGATTACTGTAGATGCAAAAACGACTTAATTTTAATTAAATTATTAAAAAAAAAATCCCCAATAACCATTATGCCGACTATATGTTTGTTGATGACCAAAAAAAAAAAAAAAGAAAATCAAGAATAATAGATTTATTTAGAGTTTTAATAAAGATAATCATTCATGGAGAACTAAAATCTGCCCCTAGTGGCCATCAGTGTTACTGCACATTAAGGCATCATTGGCTTTGCATCTCAGACCTGGCAGTCATGTCAGGTTTTTTTTTTTTTTACACATTTTGGTTTTAAAAAATATCTTTCTAAAATCAAAAAATATGCATTGCTATTATTTTTGATGCAAAAAAAGGAAGTTGAACTTTTCCACACTTGTTTAAAAAAACCTCTGCATGCTTTAACAAACCACACAGTCCATCACATCAAACATATGATAAAAATCTCCGAACAGAGATAAAACAACAGCAAAATTTTCCTAAAAAAGTGCTTTTCTTCTTTCTATGCATTGCTCATAACCAACCACGATGAGCTTTTTGCAAACTGATGCTGCAGCAGAGCAAAGCTGATGTGTCACTCGGTTTGTGTTTACTAAAATAAAAACGAACACGGAGGTCGCCCTGCAGGGATTGCTCTGGTCAAGGCTCAAATCAGGACACGGTTTGTTTAAAACAGGACAAGCACCAGCAGGAGTCCATCCATCTATTAGATTCTTTAGCAAATCTTATATAAGTCCTGTTTCATCTTGAACTCTTTTCTGGTGAAGGAATATATTGAAGAAATGTTCTGACACTTGCATGTCTGCCTGATGGATTTTCAACAACACTGAATTATGAGCAAACAAGGAAGAAAAAAATAGCAGTTTTTTAACGCATTCCTAAAATAGGAGCATCATGTGAGACAAAACTTGAATTTATTTACATTTTATATTTTGTAACATGAGTTTTAAAAGCTTCAGTGGGATGCAGAAAATAAAATAAACTTTCAACGAGAAAATAATTCCTTTAAAATGTGTCATTTTGTTCAGTAGCACGGGTTGGATTCACATTTCTAATTTTACAAACTCCTCCTGCACCTAAAATACTGAGCTGTAGAACTGCATAGTTTTAATATTTCTATGTGTGTGTGGGTGTGTGTGTGTGTGTGTGTGTGTGCAACAAGTGGCAACATTTCAAGTAAAAGATGTTGAATTTAAAGTATAACCAGGGCTTTATAACACAAGTTAAGATATCAGATCTTGCTAGCGTGGATGTGAATTTTTTTTATCATTGTTCGCTGTTTTTGATGTTCCCCGAATGACCAACATATTGTTGTTCCAGGTACCAACGTATTGTTGTTGTTTCATTTTCTAAACTAAATATTGCCCAAGATAAATGTTTAATTTCCAAACTAAACATTTAATTTCTAAGCTAAACATTTAATTCCTAAAATAAATGTTTAATTTGCTAACTAGGCATTTAGCTCGGACCTAAATATTTAACTTGCAAGTCAAATATTTAGCTAGCAAGTTAAATATTTAGGTCTGAGCTAAATATTAAGTTAGCAAATTAAATATTTATTTTGGAAATTAAATGTTTAGTGTGGAAAATAAATATTTAGGTCCGAGCTAAATATTTGGTTTAGGAATTAAATATTTAGCTTGGAACTATGACATTTATAAATGTATAAATGACAGTGAAAATATGACTGAAAAAAAACAACATTTTTTTTTCTTATGAAAGGCAAACTATTGCTGTTAATTTTTGACTGTGTAACTTTACAAATGGTACCCCATATATGTGTTTGTATTCTGCCTTCTTTAAATTGAACGTTTTACGTTTTCTTTAAATTTGTTCCATGTAGGATGTTTAATCACAAACAGCCGCAGTGGTCGACCACCATGGATGGGATCTTTCCGTAGATGATCTGCTCTTTGCGGTTGAAGTAGAGCATGTTGATGGGGGACATTTTAGTAGGCGTGCAACAGGGCCCCGTGGTGCCCCGTGGATTGGCCTTGTTCACCAGGTGAGCATGGGGATACTGCTGCAGGTAAAGGAACTCACACTCCCCAGAGCAGTAGTTGGCCCGGTAGCGTTTGGGGGCGATTATCCAGTCCCAGCCGAACTCTTCGAAGTCGACGGTGAGTGGGTATCGACAGCAACGAGTCTCTGAGGATTCCTCATCACAGTTCAGACCGGAGTCACGGCGGGTCCTCTTAGAGCTGTCCAGAATCTTCACTTCGATGAATGGTTGCTGGAAAAGAAATAAAACACTTAGTAAGGAGGTCCTAAAACAATAAACCTTTAGATTGAAGAACAGAAAAACCCACGTTTATGGATATTAAAACTGTGAGGGGAAGAATTATTAACCAAAACTTTTAGTGCCCCTGTAGATGTCTGGAGTAGTTAAGACATCTGCAGGAGCACTAAAAGTTTTGGTTAATAATTCTTCTGTAGTAGTTAAAACCGGCCACTAGGGAGCACAAGTCAGTGTATCTCTTGTGCCGGTCCCAAGCCCGAGTAAATGGTGAGGGTTGTGTCAGGAATGGCATCCGATGTAAAACACTTTTGCCAAAACCGTAATGCGAGTTCATCAAAGCGAAACCGTACTGGATCGGTCGAGGCCCGGGTTAACGACTGCCACCGGTGCTATTGACAAACAGGGTGCCGGCGGAAATTGTGCTACTGTTAGTCGAAGACTACAAGGAGGGAAACATTTCAGGAGACAGAGGGAGAAGAGGAAAAACAAGAATGTAGGACTGAGGGTGACAACTCTAAATGTGGAGACAATGACGGGCAATGGTAGCGAGCTGGCTGACATGATGCAGAGAAGGAAGGTAGATGTTTAATGTGTCCAAGAGACCAAGTGGAAGGGCAGCAAGGCTCGCAGCATTGGAGCAGGCTTCAAACTATTTTACCATGGTGTGGATAGAAAGAGAAATGGAGTAGGGGTGGTACTGAAGGAGGAGTTGGCAAGTAGTAGTAGAGGTGAAAATAGTGTCAGATAGGGTGATGTGTCTGAAGGTAGAAGAAGAATGTCGGATGGCAAACATTGTCAGTGGTTATGCTCCACAGGTTGGATGCGATGTAGAGGAGAAAGATACATTTTGGAAGGATCTGGATGAAGTGATAGAGGGTATTCCCAGGGAGGAGAGAGTGGTGATCAGAGCAGACCTGAATGGACATGGTGAAGGAAACAGAGGGGATGAGGGAGTGATGGGTAGGTTTGGAGTCAAGGAAAGAAACCAGGAAGGACAGATGGTGGTGGATTTTTCCAAGAGAATGGAAATGGCTGTAGTCAACACCTATTTCCAAAAGAGGGAGGAACATAATGCATATATATATATATATATATATATATATATATATATATATATATCCATGTGCAGATAATGAGACAGATTGCTCAGAGAAGTTATCAATTTGTGACGACCAAGTGAGTTTCTGCTGATCTTTTGTCAGCTGTCGGAAGTGTAAACAATTATTTTGTGAGGAATTGGTTGGAAATAGCTAAACTTATCCTAGCTAGCACAAATAAAACAATTTTAGCTGCAAGTTCAGGAGAACTAAACAAGAAAAAAAAAACTCATTTGTTGGAAAGCAACGTTCAGTTTTAAATATTTTGTTTAAAATAATAAAGTGAATTGTTGGTTTTCACCATGTATATTCTAATTCTCACTTTATTTATGTGATTATTTGAAGATAAAAAGCTTATGAAGCTCTGCTTACCAGTCCTTCCTCTCCAGGTTCAGCTGAAGTCACAGCCAGATTTTCTCCTTTGGTGCTGAAGGCGTTGATCTCCAAACCGTAGCTGGTTTCAGGCTGACGTAGCCAGGCCTGCAGCAGAGACTTGATATCTATACTCTGCCAGGAGCTGGACCCGGCCTCGGCGTCGATCTTCAGGGATCGGACCCGGACCCGGGTGTGGTTCCCCTCCCTAACGGGTTTGAGGCGGGAGATCTGCAGGAAGACGGTGGTGATGGTGTTGGCGGGGCGCAGGTGGACCCACAGCTGGGCGCTCAGGATATTTTTGGGCTGGATCTTCGGACTGAGGCTGAACAGGCAGCAGGAGGACAGCTCGTCCCAGGTGAGGGGGTTTGCTGGGAGAAATATTAAAATTGTAAATTACCATAATTAGTATGCAAATCAGCTGGATGATATGGGATGCCGTTTGTAAAGTTATACAGTCAAAAATTCACAGCGATATTTTGGTTTATTTAGCCTTTCATAAGAAAAAAATAGTATTTTTTCAAAGTCATATTTTCACCAAGTTATTTATACCTTTATCATAGTTCCAAACTAAACTATGTCATTTACAAGCTAAATATTTAGTTTACAAATTAAATGTTTAACTTGCAAGTTAAATATTTAGTAAGTAAATTAAATATTTAGCTCCACACTAAATATTTATTTGACAAAGTAAATGCTTATGTGCAACTAAATGTTTAATTGACTCACTAAATATTTAACTGCTTTAGTGAACTAAGTTTTTAGGTGTAAATTAAATACATTTAATTTCCAAGCTAAATATTTATTTTCAAAACCAAACATTTAATGTCCAAACTAAACATTTAATTCCTAAACTAAATATTTAATTTGCTAACTAAATATTTAGCCCTGACCTAAATATTTAT